ATAGTAATTGTTTTTTGTTTTGGATATATTGGAATTGGATATCTAAAGTAAAAGAAAGATCGAGAAAGAGAAAAGAAAAAGGATTATATAAGAAAGAGAAAGGGAAGGTTATATAAAAGAATATAGAAAAAGGGAAAAAGGGGAAGGATTATATAAGAGGACATAAAACTATTATTTATATCAAAATAATAAATCAACTTTGAAACCAGAATAGTACCCTTTTCTTTTTCTATAACTAGATTAATATATAAATTTTGTGATCAGAATAGTATCTTTTTATTTTTGCAATCAGAATAATATACAAATTATTTGAGACCAGAATAGCATCATTTTATTTTTTTGAGACCAGATTAACACATTATTTAAAAATGACTGAAATAACACAATGTGTCAATTCAGGCCTAATTAGAAAGTTTATATGCTATTTCGGGTATCAAAGTTGAAAATGATGCTATTCCAGGTATTTACCGTAAATTATATGATCTGGCTGATATAACCTCAATTTGTTGCACATCTGAACCCTTTCTGAATCTTAGGAATCTTCGGAATCTTTCCAAAAGACCAAATATTGTGGTTTGTTGCATATCTAATTTCTTGGAACTCTTCTAAAATATAGAACTAAAAGCTTGTTGCATATCGGTATGATATATGAATGATTCACTCGGAATGATTTACTAGGAATCATCTACTCTGAACAACTTGGAAGAGCAGCCAGAGATTGAAGAAAATGCACTTCTTGCAATGAGAAGCTTGAACTCAAAATGTTTTTGTTGTGTACCTCCGTTTCCAACAAAGTGGGAGGGAATGGGAAACTCAGATTCGAGATTGAAAAGGAGAGGTTGATTGCAAGCAATACACTAATTAGCTAGATGGTATTTCGAATGACGAACTTGTATTTAGAGTCATACCGAAGTGATATCAATGTGTAGAACTAGAGCTGATAAAGATGCTTCGGACTCTGAGATAACCTTCAAGATTTGAAATCGAGATATTTAATTGGAATCGAAATCAAAACCATGCTTACAATATATCACTAATCTCCTTGTCTCGTGCAAGGAAAGGCTTGTGTAAAGAGATCGTAGAATGCAACAGTCGTTGTCAAGGGCTTTATATCGAAGCTCAAATACCCCGCTTAAAGTCCCGTCCACATCAAATTCGCATCGTATTTGATATTCTGGGACTAGTCATGACTTCGAACTTCCCATGGAATCACAAACCGACAGTGTTTAAATTAAGATGAGTGGTGTGTGTTGTTCTAAACTACAATGCCAGTCCATACAGATCAAAACCGGAAAGAAATTATTCTACCCACTAGATAGCCCAGGCCCCTAAGTTTGTTTTGTTGCACATCTGTTCAATCTTGAAATTGACGTCATAAAGTAGGAGGAACCAATGAATTCTCGAGCGCAAGTAAATATACTTTCGGAAGGTATACTAGGGTATACACTATCACTTGTCTAGTAATTGGTAGCTCTTGTACTAATGGAAAACGCCATAATTAGCTTTAGTTTCCGCTCTAGGTTGTATCAAGCGTAAACTATGTCAGAAGCGTACAAAAAATCATTTCTTTAATTTTGGTATATTTTGGGATTACTAGTGGGAATGGATGGGCACTCGGATCAACTGTAGTTTTGAAATTGAATCAATATAGTCAGATATATACAGGCAAATGAATGCAGGCCGTCGCTTTATGCAATCATGTACTTTCCGACCTTCCACTGATTATCATTCTGGCTGACATCTATGGCAAAAGGATCTCAGTACAGAAAGTCTTGGAAACTTTATATAGATGTAGATTTTCAGATCCACGAGTCCTGCTTTGTTTCTAGCCTTTCTTCGTTGGGTTGAATAGTAGCTTTGATCTAATGTCGTTAGACCCCTACACCCCTATGCCCCTTTCCTCGGTCGAATTCAGTTGTGAGGTATGGCAATGATCATTAGAAGATGGATATCAAGTACAATTCTGCAAATGCAAATGCAAACATATATACTTACTCCTCCAGTTCTGGGGAAATATCAAACCGCTCATGTCTATCACAGGAAATACGGGAGAATTTTCATCACTCAACGATACTTTGATGAGTCCCGCTTATAGAAGCTGACACAGGCAATCGTCCAAGACCCTTCCACATTATTGATTCAACAGTCCTCATCTCAATAGAAACTCTGATGACAAGATTATGCTAGAGAAATAAATGAAAGTGTCAATCCCAATTTGCCAAAGGATAGCAAGCTCGAGCAATTTGGCTGGTAGATCTACTCGTAGATAATAGCAATATTTTTCACTAAGATTAAACACTAAGGAGTTAAAAGTAGTTTGTGCAGGAAAGTAGATCGACTCAAATGAAAACCTCCTAGTTTACAACTCTCATTACTAGATTCCAAACTTCTAGCTGATATGAGCGTTTTTGAATAAACCGAACCTTCGTCTAACGTAAGGGACTCTAGCACGCTAGAACTATTGGAAACGATCGATCTGTTTGGTATATCGAAATCCATCGGAGGCATCGAAGCGACGAAGCCTCTTTATACACTAGTATTGGGCCGACTCTGAAGGCCCATGGCTTCTGGAGTCTCGAACTCTGCATTTCGAACTTGAGTGGAAGGTCATCGAAGATATTGGCACCGAAGTATTTCGTGTTATCAAGGCCTTGAAACGTGATATCTCCGATAAATCTTTCAAGCAAGGCAATATTGTAAGTAAGTACTCAAGTACACTAACAGCAACTAAATAAAACATTGAAAAGTCAATAGAGGCCGAAAACGAGAGTGATAACAGGACTTGGTTATCAAACCATCCCAATGCCTGAGCAGAGACAGATCAAACGGATTTACCACTTTCATGAACCAAAGAGTCACAGAAATCTTCTTCAAAGTGGGTGATAGATTTGAATTCTAAAATACTACCGAGATTTGTATAATTGAAGTTCAAAAATAAAGCCTGGTCAATGCAAAAGAGAAATAACGAAGGGCACCGAATACGTTGAGCATGAAGAACATGAACCGTCGTCAAAGATCAAAATCCGATGATCTACTATGTATTTTCTACTTAGTAAGCTACATAGAATAGTTATAGTTGATGCAAGCGCAAACCAACCATGCAATGAATGTTCAAATCATCGAGAGAAAAATTGCAGCACAGGATATCCGCTTCGCTTTTCCACACCATTACCCATGTTCAGGGCTCCAAAAGTACACACCGTCTCCTATCACTACTCCTTCAAATCCTTCTCTACCTGCTCCCTACAGATCGGGTGATAGAAATCCTTATTTTTCTCAAACGTTTCCTCCGCCAACTTCCTGTCAACCACCACTAATTCCCTATAGAGTGTTCTCACAAATTTCATTCTACCTACTGTACCCAACAACTCGGCAGTAGGCTGATAGACGGATTCATCCTTTGCAGCCAAGCCGACGCCGAAATAGCGGGAGCTGAGTTCGACATTTTTGGTGTTGACGAGTGAGTAGGTTTTACCCATAGATTGACTTTGGGCTGGGGTGAGAGGAGTGGTGAAGAGTTGAATTTGTTGAAGGAAGACGACTACTTGGTTTGCGGACCAACCTTCGATGTCGGATGGGGAGGGGGTGAAATCCTGGGGAAGAGTTAGTCGATTCACAAACAGCGATATTATGATGAATAACTTACCTTTGAACCCCAGTTCTTTGCTAGAGAATAACATTTGTCGACCAAACTTGTGTCAAATTCTGGCTTGGGTGGAAGACCTGGCTTGTAGAACCAAGAATCCCAATCGATTGACTCCAGAGCTTTAGAAGCAGCCTTGTCGGACGCGAAGAAATCAAGAAGTGTAGCCTTGAACTCATAAGAATCAAGGGACTTTCTCTTCCAAGTGGTAAAGTAATGCGGAATAAATTTGTCCCAGGTTGGTTTACCAACGAGTCTTTCGAGATAGTAGAGGAAGTGGAAACCCTAATGCTGTCAGCAAATAAAGACAATCTTTAGACATCGATCGCACATACCTTCTCATAAGGAACACTGCTGAAAGCATCATCAGGGTCCTTGCCCTTGAGATCAACAATTAATTTGGTGAATTCATGATCTTCACCAAACTGCTTCACAGAGTCCTCTGAGCACGAAATCAGCCACCGTTTATAACTGTATTAAAAAAATACTTACCAAGAGCTTTCCATCCAATAATCGAAGAGAAATCTCTATATGCGTCTCCATGAATCGCAGCTATAATTCGTCTCTCCAGATAGACCGTCCAGCCCTCGTTCAACCAGCTTTGAAATAGTTAGCCATGCAAACCAGGTCTACAGACGACACCACTTCAGGAAGTTGCTCTAGCGAGAAAGGGGGATTGAGAAATTATCAAAACGTACAAGTGCTCCCAACTAGCATTAGATACCAAATTACCACTCCAGCTGTGAGCCAATTCATGAGCAATCACATCAACATTCTCTCGATCTCCACTAATGATTGTGGGAGTAGCGAAAGTAAACACCGGATTCTCCATGCCACCATAAGGAAAACTTGGTGGTAAGACCAAAACATTGTATTGAGTCCACTCATACGGGTAGACGATTTTCTCAATCGTCTCAATAAATTTCTCAGTGTCTCTCTCAAGTTCCCATTTAGCCCCTAAAAGTTCTTCTGGACCGGTAGAAACAAGAGAACGTGATCCGATAGATGCAGTGGCTATATCACCTGATGCAAGAGCAAAGAGATAAGATGGCATAGGGATCTCCTGGTAGAAGGAGTAGAGGAGGGTTCCAGATTCACCATTTTCGCCATGCACAAAGGAAGTTGCCCCTCTAGGCAAGCCACTTGCAAGGACGGGAAGAGGAGAACGAATTCGGAAATCGTATGTGCTCTTCACATCAGGAGTATCTTGACAAGGGAAGATGGAGCGGTTATGAATGGCTTGGCATTGAGAGAACATGTATGGAAACTTTTTGTTCGAGGTCTGAGCGGGGGTGAGCCATTGGAGAGCTGTGCATTTGTTTGTAGTTGATAGCGTGATGTCGAGTGCCACGATAGTACCCTTCGCAGCTCCACCCGGAATCTTCACAGAAAGAGGACTACCGTAGGGTTCAGTGCGTTCCTTGAGGGACCATTGTCCGGTCTTATTGCCGTCAACTGTTACGTTTTGAACATCAACGAAACTAGTATCAAGGATAATCTCCTCGGATTCCTTGTCTGTAATGGATTCAAGCTGCAGGGTGACTGTTCCATAAACTCGCTGTTTCTGGAAATCAATAGCTAAATCGGCGATTGTATGCTTCGTTCTCCAATGATTGTAATTTGATAAGGTGTTTGGATCACGTGGCATGTTGATGGTAGACACAGTGGCCATGGTACGAACTATGACCATTGTCTGACGAGCTGATACTATTCGAGGTGCAGATGTGATGATACTGCGTCCGATAGAGAGCAAGGAATTCATGTATCGGGAACACTTATTGGATGATATGGAGGTATTTCAACTGCAGGACCTGACTCGAACTCACTGATGTTGGTCGGGTGAAGTCAAAGATTTCCAGGAAGGTGGTATTGTGTTTGTATTTTGGTTGGAGGGTGGGGGGAGGAGGGGTAAAATGATATTATAGTATTGGGCCTAAGGCCTCAACGGCAAGCACGACTTCTCGGAATTGTACGACAATCACATGATAAGGTTATACTGAGGTGGGATCACATGATATGCTGTGATGTGCTTATCCGGTTAGCATCTTCCGAGAAACCCGTTTGTCTGCTTGCTTCCCTGCTTCCCTGTTCTCTGAGTTCCGAACCACAATCTATCAACCAAGTCATGTTTTATTAGCCGGTACACACAACGTTTGACCAACCGAGCCAGCCCACGCGTAGATAGATCTAGGAACAGATCTAGAAGGATTTGGAAACCGACCAGAAGGATTTTTCTGTCAGATTCAAATTAAAAAATGAAGTTTGATCACCATCTACCCTGTTTATGGCGTTCAAGTGGCAGGATTAGGGGTTTTTTGGATGAGTACGGAGGAAGTACCAGGATTTCAGTGTTCTATGTACCACACCTCGAATACGAAAGAACATCATGAAAAGTCTCATTCTAAACCGACTGCGGAGGTATCTCAACAACGGTTATATGTACGATTGTCACGTACAGAGGAGTGGTTAAGTTGCACAAGGAAGAAATATAGTCTGGATGTCCTGTCTGTAGGCTCTATACTGCAGTTGACCGCATCATATTGACTTTCGGGGAAGTTGTCGTTCGGTCTTATTATCTCGATAGCCAAGTATCAGGGGTAACTACAGGCCTATGAATCAAACTATCTCATCGAATTCTCTGCCCCCAGCACAGAAGCATTCTCCTTCCTTACTGAGGCTTACTCAACCGCAACCCGGCCATCCCCGCTCACACCTAGAGATATGAAGTTGCTATCAAATCTATCTGAAATTGGTGATAGCAATAAAACGATTTTAGGGAGAGACATCTGCAACCCGGGTTTTGGAACAATAGTGCATGTGCATTGTGTATGTGTAGATTAGGCCCTAGGTGGAGTTCTTTGAAGGTTCAAGGTAAGGTACAACGCAGCAAGGACGAACTGGACTGAAACTTGGGATTCTTGTGGGAGAATCCTGGCGAGAACTAATTGGAATCATGTATGCTGCGTAATAATAGTCTAATGTGGTGATATAACAATGTACCCGGAGTATATTAGATGTATATACTCGCCAGAAAGTCCGCAACTCGGGAACTAAAAAGAACTAGGTTACTCCCTTGTAGTTTACCATTATATGGTATGTGCTGGTATACCCGAGTTGCGGACTTACTTTCTGGCGGCATGAGTAGTGATATGGATGGATTAGTTGCAATTATGATATAGGGGATCTCGAGTATACCGGTTTTAAGGTGGACCTCAGATACTCTACAAGCCAAGCTCCCCTAGGGCCCAGAAGGAAGAATATCCCAAGTACTAATGAGTTTTGGTTACAGGTTACTGTTTGGGTTTGTTATCCCCGAAAACTTTGTGGACGATTGAAGCATTCACGACGCTTAATAGCAAGAGAAGGCAAATCGATATGTAAGCACAGATGTGAGAAGAGGGGGGACATTGGGGAGAAAGACAATCTTGGCATACCTATACCTCCTTTTCCTTTTTCGCACCAATATCACTCATAGATTCGTAATATATTTCCCCAAAATTCGCCGAATATATGCTTGATAACTATTTTTCTCCACTTCCTTTATACTTGTCGTACCCACTCATATCTCCACGGTACCTGCATTCCACTGAAAACCCACGATCTCAAACAGATATCGTTATAAACTCAACCTCAAAGGGTTCGTATTTGAATTTGTCGTTCCTTTTCGTTCATCCTTCCATATAACCACAATTCCCCACTATCGCCATGCTTCAGATATGCACTGGCTCACTGGCATGGTATCGAAAATTCAAAAGTGCCTTATTTGTAATATATTATACCAGTTCGTTTCGAACTATCGGCTTGGCTCCAATGAATATGCCATGTTCACTATGATTTTCGGGGTGAGGCGACTAGATTTGTTACAGGCTGGCTAATTGAGTCTATTGGGTACGTATTTTATCCTAAAGTTTTGTGATATGTTATTGATGGATCCCTATTTACTATAGGGCTAATATTCCAGGGTTCGTCGCGACCGGAGATAAATCTGAGGCCGGGCCATTTGCCGAATGATGAATGGGCTTTGAGTTTGGTGGTATCTCCGTAGACTTTTTGAAGTTTTTCTCAGGTAAGAGATTCGGTAAGAGATTCGGTGCACAGAGGGGGTGGGAAAAGCTTTCCAGATGCAAAAGGTCGAGATTGTGATATGAATGGTACGATATGTCTAAATCTAGATATGTAGTCAATTTTGTTGATGATTTAGAATTTAGATGCATGATGTTGTGCAACCTCAAAGAGAGTTTCCAAGTGCACAACACTCTTTGACAACTGACATGCCTAGCAATTAATTTGCCGATTATAGTTCTTGATAAAAGCTTACTACCGCATGAATTGCATCTTAAGCTACGGAGAATTAATGATAAATCCCTTACATATAAACATTATGCGTTTCTAATTTGGAACACATGGTGGATAAAATTCGGGGTAGGCGTGCATATAGGAGAGAATAGACTAGAGCTTCCATTTAGCGATCTGGTAAAGCAAGCCAAAATCATGAAAGAATAGATACGGAAGGAGGATCTGGTGGCACCTTCCGAGTTGATACTCTACAGTATGACGGGCTGTTATTTTTGTTACAGAATCCAGATGCCATGTGCTAACGGTTACCTTGGTAGACCAATTATAGAAATTGTATTCCATCGAGAGAATTATTGGGAGTCGGTTAGAACCATTAGGTAAGGTAGTATTGAAGGAAAAGTATATAAACCGGATTAAGAAAGTGCTTTCAGGGAAGAAAGGCCTTTGGAAACTTGTTGAAGATTAGGATTTGTACGTGATCAGTCATGATACAGTAGCATTGAGGAAGAATTGAAACTAGACCTGCCTGCAAGTATGTATTTGTTCCGATCCCTGTGCAAAGATATAGACTTGTACTACTCGAGTAAGTGTTGAATGATGAAAATGAGGTTATTCGGCAAAATCAATGAGACGCAGATATGAAATGAGGCACTATTACCCGTGTGGTGTCACCTGTTTCGATGATTTGAATATCTTCACTATATATGAAATGCGGTGTAAACCATTCTTCATAGCTCTGACTCGCAAAACTAGTTTCTCGGCTTAGTTTGTATGATGGTTGGTGCCCCTTTACTCCATGCAATTGCGACAGTAGTGTAATGCTGTGCGCTGCATAAATGGCAAGATGGAGTTATGAGTGTGAGAGTTTTAAGCAAATAGAGGCTGTGAGAAAGGCGATTCCGGTTGGGATGGGATCTGCGTGAGTTTTGATGTGATGGAAATGTAGGAGATTGCATTGCTGTTGCTACTGCAGTCACACAATTCGCCTTTCTTCAAACCGGTAGTTAGTTGTTGGTATATAGCTTCTCATAGAGTCATGAAGATTGGAAATGAAGAGAAATAAGGAATATGGGACGAAACAAGAATCCCCGATATCATTGAAGCTATTGTTCCAAAAGCTCGTTTGCATTTAGGAGGTGTCATAATAATTTCTACCGCTATAGATTTTACCTGCTTGTATTATAGGTATTGTACCTATAATTTATGTAGTATTGACAAGCTTAGATCCTTATTTGTACCTATAATACATGTAGTATTGACAAGCTTTGGGTCCTTATTAGAACCACACATTAGTTCCTATTGGCGACCGTTATACTGTACTCTACATGATAATGGTGGAACGAACTTGTGGGGAATACTTGGCCAACCTTGGAAATATGCAACCTTTTATTTGACACCTCGTCGTCCGTCTAATTCAAGTCATTTTTAATTGAGGTTATATTTATCTCTTAATGGTTCTTATCAAAGCTTTGAATGGATTAATTTGACAAGCTGATTAGATTGAAGTGATAGAATGACGTTCAATCACACAATTCCCGCGCGGGGGTCCCGGAGGGTTAATAGACTAAATGTCTAAATGTTCAGCCATCAAGATCCTAATTCTCCACATTTGCACGAAACAGTTCATGCTCAAGCTTTCACAATCCCGACGGCTTCTCATAGCAGAGCAATCTAGACTAGGTTGATCCATCAGAAGTATTTGCCAAACAGTTTCCAAGGAGATTTATCCTAAAACAAAGTCGAGCATCCGGATGGACAGCAAGGACATGACCCTCGTTTTGTGAGGATATCTAGGACAAATTTTGGATCGATACGGAAATGATATGTAGAGATTCAACAATCTTGTGACTGGTTAATACAACCGGCTTTGTGCCGAAAACATTTATTAGACTTTGGTTGTTAAGGAGGTTTGAGAGTTCTTCTCCACTACTTTTATTAGTCTAGAGCTTGAGGTTTGCACAGACAAAGTTTCGGAGAGAATTGCTGAATGAAGATATATACCCCGCTGCGAACTCCTCTTTGCCGGTTATCCCAAACTCTTCAATGTGCATGAACGGATGTGATCTTTGCAGAATCGGAAGTATCTTGGTGAGATCATTGAGATGAGGGAGATTAGAAACGTTCATCCAAATCTCCTGTATATCATATATCATCGTATTTTGTGGCTCACTGGAATAGCGACAACTCTTCTGGCAATTCGAAACATGATATGCGAGTCATAAGGATGGGAATTAGCTTTCCTTGGATCAATTAATACTACGATTTGATGGCGAAAGTGAGTAAACTGAAGTTTTTTGATAGATATCCATATAAGAAGGAATAATACATAACATTCGCGTCTAAACTATAATGAAATACCTCGCAGCAAGACGAATGAAGCAAGACGAATGAAGCAATACAAACCTCAGTATATGTGATGACAAGAGAATAGCTTGTCTCGCAATAGAATCTCCATCAAATACGTGATAATTTGTTTTGAAGTTCTCGTGAGTTCGCCCCAAGATCTAATGTGGGCCATACTCGGATATCGTAAGATCTTACATCGTATATGGGTTATGGGGCCATAGATAAAAATGAATAAACAAAATAAATTAAAAAGATTTATTTTTCTGGTTTGCCCCTCTCGACTTCTCTCGAGTCTCAACCCAAAATCAACGTCTGTGCAAACTGCCAAGTTTACTCAGTCTTCTGATACGAAGCTTCTTTTGTTTTTCCCATACTAATATACTAATAATCAGACTATTTTATTATCGGACTTTCCGGATCTTTACCGAGACAATCGTGACAATCGATAACTACACCGTTATTGTACAACCTCGATTAACTTCAGATTGACATCAAGTTATCTTAAGATCATATCTGATTCTAATCAGCCACCTTCCTCGAGTAAGCAGGTGGTTCATCACGATCCACCAATGATCATCATCTCGACTTTTCGTCAAATGTCTAATGGTCTCCTTTCTTTTCACCTGTGACCTCTCCCCCCCTTTCCTCACCTTCTTTACCTGGGTACAAGAACCTATTAATTCTTCTTACACAACTAGTAAAAAGCCCTGTATGAAATCCCACGATCCTTACTCATTCTCATGCAGTCAACTACTTTTCCTGTCTAACTCCGTAGTAATTATTTCCTAGTTTCCCATGCAGTTACAACTTACATGGCTGCCATAAGTGTGCACGGGGCAGCACGGACCTATGGTAGAGTAAGCGAACTGCTATCCTGTCAAAAGCTCCAAGCGGTTTCATTTCATCAATCACCCTTGTTTTGTCACTAACACCCTCAAACACTTGCATCATCCCAAACAGAATTTCACAAATTCCCCATACGTTCTCGTCCTCTGCACTGGTACGTACAGTATCAGGTAACTCCAAAATTTACATCTACACTAACTCCATCAGCATCCTACACAACCTTACCCCAAGGTTCAGTGCTTATTAGCCCCTTCTTGTCATTTTCACTGTACCTGTCTGTCTCAGACACTATAGCCATTAATGTTCACCCTAAGTAGGAGAAAAGAAAAAATGACGCTAATGGACCCTGCTGCACACTACAGGCTTATAGACTGGGGGATATCTTTTAAGAATATTACATATCCCCACATGGTTCCTCGCTGGGTCGGTCCAAGTGTCTGGCACTCCTTGAGTATATTCTAATCCTTTCTTTTCCGTCTATACCTCACCAAGTGGATCGAGTCCATATATATATTTCCCAAGTCCGCTATATTAATATATATGTCACAATCCTTCCCAGACGAATTAACTTTTCTTACCCATTGAATCGCAAAATCGAGCCGGGAGCTTTGAATCGGAACTAATCCTTAATATGGCTCATATCGCCGACTACATGGTCGATGCTGCCAGCAGTGTTGGCTTAAATAACTTAATAGCTCTCGAGTTGAGTGTATCACCTTCACCTCAAAATATTGTATGAACTATCTCTTCGTAATCAAGCTGCTTCTTGCTCACATATTTTCAGCGTTCGGAATCCCCAGCTACGGAAGAGAAAGAAAAACATATTTGGCGAATGCATCAACCGAGCGAAGCACCACGAAAATACAGTATATTTCCATTCAAAGAGAAGCTATCGATTAGCTCAGGTCGAAAAAGTCCCAATCCAGAATCTACATGGACAATGGCATTGGGAGAGAAGCACAACATTCAAAAACCAAAAGAATTGAATAAACGAAGGAAACCGAGTCTTACTGATTTGGGACCAATGACTACCGTACATGAAGTTGCGATGGATTCTCGTGAGTGCTTCAATATTTTGGGGGTATGCATAGAACTGACATTGGATAGCAACCATTCCTGGACGTTTTCCTCTACATGAAAGATCCTTTAGTGCACCCGGTGGAAAATGGAGACAGCATACATATGGTGAATCCTTAGTCGCATGTATCGAGGGACCTACTATAGATGAGAGTGTTGAGATTGATTACGAAATTTACGAGTCCAATGATTTGAAGAGACAACGATCAAGTTCTAACGGCCGCTTACGTTCACCCCAACAACCCCTTTCACCAAAGTCTTTAGCTCCTCTTCTTATACCGTCCAGAGATGCCGCCACGCCACAAAGAACTCGTACTCATTCGTCACCAAGCACACTTAGATCACCAACACCACCACGAGTTCCACCAAAATCAACTAGAATGATGGAGCAATCCTCATATCATAGATATTCTCCATTTACCCCTTCATCCTCCGCCAGTCTTTCTACAGCACCAAATTCCGCCACCACCGCAGCAATCACACCAGGTTCTCCGCGAGAAGGTCGCTCATCTCCAAAGCCTTGGATAATGACTGGCCGATCATCCCCAAAACCATGGATGCATCTTCTCTCTGGACGATCCTCGCCCAAGCCTACCAAAGATACATCCACCATCATGCAAGCAAACGTAAACTCCAGCGTAACCACTCTGCCCCTTCCAATTCCACGACGACAAGCCTCAGGTCACTCCCGCAACCGATCCGAAACCGTCGCCAGCCAACAACCAAGATCCGGAGGTCTCACCCACACCGTATCCCACCGACGGGGAGAATCCGAATCTTGTCCTTCAATAATGGATCGAGGAAGACCTAAGAAACACGCCGATGGATCCCCCATCAAGGGATCACCTATCAGGAGCACGCACCAAAAACGAACACAAGCACCTACGTCAGAGGAACAATTAGCATTTGAACATTTACCCCAGGGTGTAAAAGCTGCTCAAGCGAGTTCGAAATTATCTCCAAGTGAAATGGAGAGAATTAGATGTCAGGCCATTGGACAAGTATGTCGATTCGAAGTTCTCAATTCCAAAGACGTGGACGCCCTGTCACGGGTAAGACATCCCTCCCCTTCCCACTTTCCCCGCCCCCACTAACAAACGCAAAGGAACTCCGCGCCCTCGACGAACGCTGTCTCTACCTCCGCAAAACCCACCGCTCCCTCCGTTCCGGTCGCCGCAACCTGCACGATCGCATCTGCACCTATCTGCGCTCGCCCCGCACTGCCCGCTTTTCGCACGACGCCATCCTCAAACAAGAAGAAGCGCTTGCGGAACTCGACTCGTCAATTGATGACTGGGTTTCTAAACTCGACCAAGCAGAAAACAGACGTACGCGAGTTCGACAAAAGTTGCTCGAGCATGTTGCTGCCGCCGTCTTCATGCCTGTGACTAGCTCCGAGACAAATGGGAGAGATGTTATGAGTATGGATCATACCACGACCCCACCGCGAAGTCCTATCAAGGGCATAAGTCCCGTTCGGGAAGCCCATCGCGAGGTAGAAGTTGAAATCCCTCGCACAATGACCGATGCGGAAATCAAACGCAAGAGAGAATCGCGACGGAAAGCCGTGGAATCTATTCGTATCTATGCCGATTCAGACGTATTTGCACTCTTGGCCGATGTAGAAGAGGAGATCAATCGGATGGGCGACCACACTCTTCCTGCATCGGAGGATTGCCGTCCCAAGGAAAAGAAACCCGTTTCTCCTCAACCGCTGCCGGCTCAACGGAAGGAAATGATCTCACAGGATACACGACCTGATGCTCGTTACTCATCATCTGTACCCGTGGCTCCCATGTCGCCGTTCTTGCTACGGCCAATGGCCTTCACGATGCCGTCTGCTAAACAGGGTGTTAAGGTTTAGATCTTCACTTGTTTATATTTATCCTCATACCCTCATACACTCATACCCTGTTATTTTCACAGGCGTTTCGTTTCTTCCGATTTGTATCGTTCATTTGCGTTTTGCATTTGCTTTTCGCGCGTAGAAACGTGTAATGACCTTTACGATTCTCATCACTTGCTTGCTATGATATGGCCTGCCTGCCTGCCTGTTTATTTCTTTTGTTTTGTTTTGTTTCGTTTGTTCGTCTCGCTCTTCTTTGGTTTACTGTTATACTCGATTATACGATACCAATTTATACTTTAATTCTTAAAGGGGGGAGAGAGGTGGGGAGATTGATGGGTTGGGTGGGTGTTGATACTATATTTACTGTCTGTCGTTTGAGTTTCTTTTGTATTATGGATGGATGGATGGATCATGGATCATGGATCATGGATCATGGATAAAATGATGGAATGATGGAGAGATGGGGTGTGTATGATACTTGTATTCTTGTCTGTCGCTACTGGGTGGATTGTTTTCTTGGGAGGATATGGGCAGGGAATGGAAAGGAGGAAAGGAAAGGGAATGTATAAAGGTTACATATGTCAGCTATGGAAAGGAGTTGAATAGTAGGTAGATAGATATCTATGGTTTCAAAATGAGACGATACGAGATTAGATGAATTCCTATTCCATACCACCACATAATTGCTTTATTACCAAACATGAATTGTGAATATCGATCGTGAAAATCACCTCCCTACCATCCACCCAATCTCCTCAACCCAATATTACTTAAAGTCCTTCCCCCACTCCCTTCTACAACCCCCTCGCCCTCCAACTTCCCCCCATCACCCAACATCAACTCCGTAACAACTTTGCTCATCTCCCTAGTCGGAGTCCACATATTCCTACCCAATGTTCTCACTACCGGCAACAATCCCATCTCCACCAACTTCAACATTCCCTTTCTCTGCGGAACAAAATCTCGAATCTCTTCATGTGCCGAAGCATCAACCCCACCCGGTCTCACGTTATAAACCTTTAAATTCTCACAATTCTTTTCCTTAGCAGCCAGAGCCAATAAGTCGCTCTCCGTTTTTCCTTTCACTACTCCAAACATGGGTGTTAACATCCCTGGGGGTGTAGTGGCTCCTTCACCGGATATGTAGAGGAATTTAAAGGGTTTGGGGGCATTGAGTGGAGAGAATGCGCGGGCCGCGGAGAGGGTGTAGGATTGTGTTATTTCGGTATATTTTCTATGATTCATCGATTCATTAGTATTCATGACTCCAATCCTTTCCAACATATATCAAAAAGTAAGAAAAACTCACTCCCAATCAAGCCCCGAACTACTAATTCCCAATGCCCATACACAACCCTCTGCCCCCCTCAACCGTTCCAACACACTCTCGGGATAATGGTTGAAATCCGAGTGGATAATAATGTTTGCTTTCGAGTGATTTGCGTGTGTTTCGGCGAGGGGAACGGGGTTGCGGGTGAGGATGGTTAGTTTGGTTATAGAGGGGTGCGTGAGCATGTTTTGGAGGATGGAGGAACCGACGAGGCCGGTTGCGCCGGTTAGGATGAGGTGCATTTTGGGGTTGATTGGTGCGTGGATGGAAAATGGGATTATGGTGGTAAGAGGTGGATTTGTGAAGGGGAGGTGAAGAGATATGATGAGAATGAATTGAAAGGCATTGTGCGGAATTAGGAGAGTGATATATATATTTTCTCTACTCGTTGGGAAGGTAAAAATGAGAAGCTGACGAGGCTACACGAAGGAGGCTGCTGTGCGGAATTCTAGATCCCGCTTTTGAGGATAAGAGAGCGATTATTGGCTAATTACATCAATTTAGCGGCCGCAATCTGCAGCTTGCTGACACGACCAATTGGATCTCAGTTCCAAATGCAACTTGCTGACCCAACGTGAAGTTTTATTGATCTGCACGCTCGTTGACGGCGTCGAGATTCACGATAGCATCGACGCAATCAAGTTACGAAGATTCCTAGGTGGAGATGGTTTCTTCTACTTACTAATCTTCGGAAGCTTCAATGAAGGGGCTGTGGATTCTATGGATCTGGTACCGGCATGTTCTCGTCTACTTATTTGCGTGTTGTTCAAGCTAATTTTTCGTGATAAGATATAGATAATGAGTATAAAGCGCATACGGAGTATACATTTGATGATAAACATGGGAATTTAGTTGCTCCTACGATACTTTACTTCCATCAAAACCGGCGTACAAATTAGTCCGCATAGATATATATCGGTATGGTGTGCGTATGGGCAGAGATACCTTCGCCTGAAGAAACGATTCATCCCTTGAATACGTTTGCGAAATCGTTGGAAACGGCAATCACAATCACACGGAGGAAATGATATCTATCGCTCGAAACAACCCGCAGATGAAGTTAAAGTTAAAGTTAAGCATTAGTATATCATCTATTCGAGAAGCATCCACCCTCTTCCATGATTCACAAGTACGGATATGATGTGGAACGACTGCAGGATTGATGGCCATGATCGATTGTAATGAAGTTCAACGTGATCAGAAGGATACTCTACTACACACGCAACCATCATCTCTCGAAACACACCACAGACAATGGAAGATCAGGATGTTACGCCGTCCCTTTTCAAGAATTGTACCTGCTCCCTAAAAGTCTATGAACGTGGATTTGGGAGGGATGGCAGTAGGATCAAGCTTTCTGGATGCCATGCATCCTGCCTCGTGCAATACAAGGTAGGGAGAACGTTTCAACCCCCGCGGTACCTTCCTGTCGTGTGTTCATCTGAAGGAAGCGTACTCAGTTGGGTGTCATTTGTCTCAATCACCTATCACGTACGTCGTCATACTAGTCACCAGGTGGACTTCTATCTTTGCGATTTGTATCCATTTCAATTATTTGACATCCTAGAAGTCTTGGATGTCTCAAATTGTAAGAACATAAATAAGCCCTGACATGTTACTCTTCCACCGCATTTCTCTTTCCTTAATTGTCAGTTCCATCTCCGTCAAATCTCTCTAAACGATCGTATTCTTCAACGAAGAATCATCAAGCATCTTACACCACGACTAAAAATAAAGTTGTAGCGGGGTAGTGAGCAGTAAATTCTATTCGTGTGGTGCAACAGCTATTTCGAACAGAATCATCTTGGCGCAAAATTTGCTACAAAAAGTGGAAATAAAGGGGTCGGCGTCGGCGATTTGAATAGGTGTATCTGACAACATTCAAGGATGTGGCACAGCAATCATCCCATCTAATCGCATCACATCGAGGAATCTACAACCAGGTTGATTGCGACGCGCCTTGGGTTTCATTGCATTCTTCAATTGTTGAAATTGCTACGATGATCGAGTGCATTTGCTGGTTCGGGATGAAGGTAAAGGGTCTCGCCGTTAAAGATTTGCTTCAGCCGTTGCCGGTATTGTCCGAGGTGGTATTGTTCTGTGCCGATGCATATATATATAAAACGCAACGCACGACTATCACATACGTACATTGCAACAAATCTTTCTTCATTTTCTCTTCAACAATTTGTGATATCGAAGGGATCAGATCTGGTTCCGTTGGAGACTGCAGAATGTCTACTGCAGACCCTTATTTATTGATACATGCTCTTCTGTGTATATGGGCATGTATTTTATTGATACGATCTTACCATTGATAGCATGGTATAGTAGCGCCTAGGTGGTTTTCGGTGATTGGGTAACTCTGGAGTTGGTTCGTGGTTGGTGTTAGATTGAATGGTCGATAATTGAAATAAGCTGGATTCTCGATGCTGCTGATAGTAGTCTGAAGATGAGTTACGAAAGATTCCTGGATTGATTCATTTGTTTATCCATCTATTGGAGTAAAAACGGGGTTGATATCTGAGATCTATCTGTTGGCTAGGTGGTTAACTTCATAGTATTCATTTTGTATTCGACGTCGGGGTGTGAGGCGTGAGATGAGTACTGGTACTGGTAGTTTAGGAATTAGATTGTAGTACGGATTGGATATCCGGAGATGTTGGATATGGTATGGGAACATCCTTATGATGTCGATACTATCTGAGTATTCATCGGAGACTTCGTATCAAGTACTGTATCATTTCTACTCGAGTATATAGATATTGGTACTCGATCATATATCAAATATCATATTCACTATGAGTACAATCTATGCCGAGTACAATATATGCCGGCAATCTGGGTATTGGACTGTATATCCTGTTGTAATAGGACCTTACCTACCTATTCTATAAGGATAAAAGTTCTAGTGCTTCAGATGTGGTTTTATAATAAAGTGAAAATGCAGTCCTTAAGAGTACCTACCTACCTAGTCCCTCAAAAAGGAACACTCTTATAATAACCATATCATTTTCATCACGATTTAACAGATATTTTGATTGAGTTGGAATACCGGTAGTCCACCCGTTCATTAAACTTCAGTCTTAACTTACCTTTAAACCTTTTCGACTTTGGAGATTGTAAGATACAGGTACCGGTCGACATTTCCATTTTCCATTTCATATCGTTGGGAGTTGGTTAGTCAGCTATATGGTTCTACCTCGGTACTCCGTACACTCCACTACAACTACAACATCGATGATGATTACAATTATACAATTATGAGACGACGTTCATGTTCACCATCATATCCATTATACTCGTGTATACTTCAACAACTTTAATAATACGAGGATCTACTACACGAATTTCAAAACAGAATACATAATTCCTCCATACGACTTTCTCGTTAACCTATAACCGTGGTATCTTTTAATTGCTGATTGTTGATCAAGGGAGGGGCAATATTTCACATTACCGTTATGTGCTAATATTTGGCATTCAATTCGAGTCCTGAGAGAGCCAAAAGTTTCCGCGTTTGCTCGCTGCAGTTGTAGCTTGAGCTCCTTTTACACGCGTCCAGTTATCAAGTGTCTACCACTTCCAATCTTATCATGTTTCGAGGTTGTTTTCGATGGCCACATACGACGTTAAGGATATCTTCTACAGCTACCAGTCGTCTTAGGCATTTCTTGCCATATTCACCAAGCTCGTCATCATGGACGCTTCCAGGTCGGGATCAAGCACCTATTGGTATTACTTTCTGTCCTAAAAGACTGGCACATGTTGCGGCTGTATCGACGGAAAGGGTTCCAGATAAGACGGCGGCTGCTGCCCTTGATATTGGACCATTCAAGACTCTGTTCCCACCATCACCTGAACAACAAGTTGCTATTGATGCTCTGTTACATACCAAAAACAACGTGATTGTTGACGCGTGTGCTGGTTCGGGGAAAACGACCACCATTCTGCATCTCGCGAAATCTGCACCCGAAACTAAATTTCTTGTGTTGGTCTACAACCGGCGTTTGATGCTGGAAACACAGCAGAGAGTGGAAGATTTGGATCTGGAAAATGTGACAGTGCTAAATTATCACACGCTAGGGGCGAGGTATTACACATCAGAATGTGCCACCGATCAAGGTCTCAAACGAGCTGTGGAGGATGAATTGCCTGTATTCAGTGGCATGGAACTTCCTGAATTTGCAGTCTTGATTTTGGATGAACAGCAGGATATGACACCAATATTGAAACGATTCGTGGATAAGATCTTACGCGACAAGGGATTCATCGGGCCTGGTCGAAAGCCCAAGAGTGGGAAACTGCTGAGAGTCGTTGTTTTGGGTGATAGACGTCAAGAAGTCTACGGATTTAACAATGCCGACTCACGATTCTTATACATGGCTGATCGCCCTGAGGTCTTTGGCTACATTAACCAGCAAGAGTGGGTTTTGGCTGATCAGACAGCCTCAAATCGCATAACTAAATCGAACGTTGACTTCATCAATCAGCAACTTCTCACCGATCCCCAGGGAAAACCTATGCGGGCGGTAAAATCTCGAGACGCATCAGGCCTACCCTATCCTCAACCACGCTATGTCATATGCGACCCATATGATGACCTGGTGCATGAGATATCACGACTACTGGAAATACCTGGCATATTCCCCAACGATATAATCGTTCTTGCCCCCTCAGTGCGTGTCGGCTCGCCAGCAATCTTCCTAGCTAATGATCTTGCGCTCCGAGAAATCCCGGTTTTCAGATCGGACTCGGATATCTCAGACATCGCGCCCGAAGTTGCTCACGGCAAAATATTGATCTGCACGTATCACCAGGCCAAGGGGATCGAACGTAAGGCGGCAGTTGTTCTTGGCTTCGATCAGTCATACCATAACATATATGCCCGAGTATCAGAAGACCCGATTGCGGTCACCAATCCTCAGTATGTTGCAGCCACCCGGGCACTCGAGTACCTTGTCCTTATTCATGATCATACAAGTCCCCCATTACCTTTCGTGAACTTGGACAACGTGGACGCAACGTGTGACTTGGTCAAGATTCGCGAGCTTGATTTTAAACCTCCCGCTCCTGAATCATCCATCGGTAACTTCAGCGTGACTGCACTCTGTCGAAACGTTTCCGAGACTCTTATGACAGACTGTCTTCGTCGTCTCAAGTTCAAAATGCTTGCTGAACCTGCTTATGGAAGCTCGCCGCCACCCTCTGAAATCCAGGATCGTTATGATCTCTTAGAAGCCGTCGCAGGTATCACTGGAACAGCTGTTCCTGCTATCTTTCAGTGGCGTCAGAGAAAGAATTTGTCCATACTTTCGGGACCTGTAAAACTCCTCTCGCCGGCCAAAAGACCATCAAAACGACGAAATCCGTTGCGCCAGCTTCCAAAAGCCATCTACGAGAGGATCCAGTCTATAAAAGACGGATATGATGCCCGTGTTTTGACCACCGGTGACATATTGTTCATTTCGAACCTCGATATGGCAGATAAGGACAAAGATATCACCAAGCTCCTAACTATTCCATTAATGGGATACACATGGATGGTAGAGACGTATTGTAAAGCTATTCAATATTTACTCAACACACTTCCAGGAACCGCCAAAGTCTTAACACGAGGTGTATTTTTCGAACACAGTAGGGTTCGTAAGTTTCCTTATATTACACACGGGGGTGGGCCTACGAGGCCGAAAAAGAAAGTAGGAGTCATTGTGCGAGGCGTCATGGACATGTGTCGCCCGAAAAAGGAGGAACCCATCGTCTGGGAAATCAAACACTCCGATTCCCTGTCACCCGAGCACCTATTGCAAGTCGCCTTATACATGGTACTTTTAGGCCCAGCCGCCTCGGGATACCTCGTCTCAGCACGCACAGGCCAAACCGTGCAGGTCTTGTCCCAGACGTCGAAATCGCTCACCGAGATTCTGCAGTTGCTCGTAGATGCTAAATCTGGGGGGGCACAAACGAGATTGCTGAATACGTATTCGGATGAGGAATTTTTGGCAGAGTGCAGAAGTGACTTTGCGGGTCTGGTGGGGAAATGTGCGTTGCCGGCTTGGTTTGCTATGAAGCCTACTCAGTCGAGGTATGGAAAAGGGCAGACGGAGGGGAAAGAAGAAGGGGAGGAGGGGGGGGGATAGTATATGATTTGGTCGAAATTGGGGAAGCGCAGAAGCTGGAGATGGATATGGCAAATGGAAGATGGTGGGTGGTAATTGATGCTGGTGGTGGATGGTGGTAAGGAAAAGTCTGACTCGAAAAAGTGGAGGCGAAATTTGAGGGGGGAAAGGTATCTACGATTGGATCTCGAGAAATTTTCTCGACCTGCTCAAGAAACGAGAAACGAGGTCCGAGACGCGAAGGACTAGAATTTTATCGATTTCGAGCATTGGGCGTAGTACACGGTTATTGATAATGTCTTGGTCTTTATCTTTCATCAGGATGGGAGGATGGGTGGGTATCAAGTCATATCCTTCAATTTCGGAGTCGGAATCGGAATCGGAATCGGAATTTCGACATGAATTTGGAAATTGGGTTGTGTCTAGAGACTCGGATTCGGATGGCAATTTTCTTGGCTGGGTAGGCAGGCACTGGTGGGTGGGTGAGTGGGTGATGGATCTGAATGAATGATGAATGATGAATGAATTGCTTGTGCTATTTTCTATTTCTATTTTACATATTGGGGTATTAAGGAGAAGAGAAGAGAGGAGATGAGAAGAGATAGAAAAATAGAAAATAGAAAATAGAAATAAAAAGTTGTAGTGGAAGTGGAAGTGGAATTTGGAATGGAATTTGAAGTTAAAGTTTAGAAAAAGTAGAATGGAAGAAAATGGTTAATAGTTGATGTTTAATAGTTAAGAGATAATAAAGACCTTGATGATGACGTTGATTTTGATTTGATATTTAGTACTCGAGCATAGTATATGTATTTTAGGTGTGTATAAAAGTTCTACTCGAGTATGTATACAGCCTCAGTCATTCTATTCTATCCATTTATCTCCCCTTCGCCTCATCCTTTGGAACTTTCCTTTCCCTTTCTTTTCTTTACTTCCCTTCTATTCTCTACTCTTATAGTATGTTGTTGCAGTATACCGGTACTAACCTTTTTTTTCTTCTAGAATTAAGAGAAAGGCGTACTCGTGCTACAGTACTAGAAAGTATGTACATTAATAATAGGAGGGAATATATAGAAATGATACTACGAATTTTCAAGCTCTTGTTGATTATCTATACAGTAATGATGTGATTATTAATGAGGTGAGGTGAGGTGGGAGAATTATGTAGAGGTTCTTGTCAGCTTTTTATTTGGTTGTGGAGCCAAGACGAAAGGAAGTGGTCTTTTAAGCCTCCCCTCCCTCCCTCGACTCATGTATTGGATTGGATTGGATTAGTACGAGTAGGTAATCGAGCAAATTGTGGCAATTATTTGTTTCTGGCGCTTGTAAGTTTTAGGTTTGGGGAGGGAGATGGTGATGATAAGCGAGCCGCTGTATGATATAGTAAAGTGGTAAAGTGGTGAGGGTGAGTATTGTAAGAGCAGAGGATTTGGGGATGTAGGGAGGGTAGAGGTGGTGAAAGAGGAAGGGAAGGATAAGCGATGGTTAGAGAAAGAAGTTATAGTGAATGTACGAGTGTTATAAGGGATGATGTGATAGTAGAAAGGATATGATATGATATGATGTGATGTCAGATGTGATGTGACTTAGTGAGGTGATTAATCATTGATGATGAAATAGTAGGAAAAGTATTAGTATGTACTTGTAGAAAATATCTATTTGTACTTGGGTAAGATATACATTAGCATTATGAATCTAATTTAATCTAATCTAATCTAATCCAACCGTGATCTAACAAAAGTTCTATTCTGATTGTTGCCATATTGTCTAGATGATCTAGATGAACACGAAATATCCTTTATTCCTTTAACAATCACATTATTCTATCTTATCCCATCCAATTTCTATTTCCTTTCTCTCTCTCTCTCACTCTAAACTTGTCTTATTATCTCGTCTTATGTCATCATCACAGTGAAAGGAATTCCGAGACATCGCTATCAAACCCACTTAATTCTTATCCATATATCTTATCCACCAGTCCACCAATCCACGTGTAAGCGTGTTGTAACTTGTAACTGGCACCGGAACTGTTGATCCTTCATTGGGAATTTTGGACACACGACTCGAGATTGTATTTCTATTTCTATTTGTATGTATTGTATTGAATTTACGAAGATATTGTGTTTAATTTGAGGAATTGAGTGAATGAAGTTTTAATCAAAGGACTTGAAAACAGTATTGAATTTGTTTGTCAAAGGGGATTACTTATTGCTACCACAGTCTCACTACTGAGTACTTCTAGATACCCTTGCTGCATTCGCTGCGCTCGCTGTACAACACAACCTACATTATTCGAACGGTGGTGTGTGTTGTGGAACCTGATTGTCAAATCCCGAATCGAGGTCTTCTCTTTATTTATACGTCGGGAACATACGTTAAAGGATAGACGGAGAAAAGTGCGTCGATTAAAGTCATACGAGACTCGAAACATATCCTATTTGATACTAGATATCGTTCCGAATTACCAAGACTATTCTTATCCTACCACGAAGATACGAACGAGATTTGAGATAAATATCGTGTCCATTTTGATTCCATTTGTACAACCGCAACAACAATATATCAAATATGGCTTTTAGACAACCTACATATCATGTCCCTCCTCGAATCTTTACGCAATCAACTCAAGATGCCAACTCGCAATCGCAGACGGAACAAAATATACAAGAGAGAGATAGGGAAGGAGAGGAAAGTCGAGAATGGGTATTATTTTCTCCAGTGGCGCCGAGTTTTACGGAGAGAACATATACAACTAGTACGGGGAGGACGAGGGGAACGCGCACAGCTGGTCACTCAAGGGTTAGTGATTTTGGAAGTTTAGAAACGGCAGCGAGGAGTTATGGAGTTTATGATGAACAGGAGTATGAGCATGATGAAGATGGGGATGCGCAAACAGAAGAAGATAATGAGGATGCGGAGTTGGATTCGTTAGATAGTCATTTACATGAGTTTCAAACAGAACCAAGTGTTTATGGGAATATGGAAGAGGAAGAAGGACCTGTGTTGCCGACACATGATGGGTTGGGGAGTTTTAGGGTAGATGGGATTGGGGAGGATGTTCAAGAACATCTATATGCTTTTGAGATGTATAATCCGAGAAGGGTGAAGAGGAGAAGAGAAAGTTTGGAGATTGGGGATATGGCGTTGGAAAGTGAGAGGGCTGCGGAAATGGAGAGGACGAGAAGGATTGAGATGTGGAGGATGGAACAGAGTAAGGCATTGGTGGATGAGATACAAAGGGAGACAAGGAGAAGAAAACAATCCATGTCAAGTGATAAGAGGAGTATTATTGTTGAGGACAGGGAACAAGAGGATGTGGCTACATTGAATAATGTCGAGGTGGAACCAGCACCGGCAATAATATGCGAAAATGATAGTCTATTGAATAGACTCACTCGGAGAGTCATACGAGATCTAATGGGTATAGATGATGGTCTCCTCTCCATCATCTTCGGCGAATCTCTACCGAGAGAAGACGATTTATCCAAAACACCAGGAAGAGCTATATCCATTCCTGCCACTCCTCCTCAACCTGATAATAGTTCATGGGAATACAGACTCCTCGAACGTATAGCTCGCGAGTTAGGGATGCTGGTTAATCAACTCTCAGATCACCCAGGCGCTTTCACGACATATCTCCAAACTCAACAAACACCCCTTCCTTATGCAGGCCTACCTGCCATCCCCGAATCATCCTTAAGTAATAATATTAATATGACCACGGGCATTCCACTTCCAGATTTGGAACAAGATGATATTCGAGAACCTCTCACCTCAACTCTATTCACGAATCCCAATTTAGAATTTCACCCCACAATCACCCGACCAGTTTCCATCTCCAACCCAAGCATCGCCGGACAAGGACAGGAATTAGAAGATGACTTCACACCGAGACAATCATATAATTCTACTATCACAAGAGAGGAATGGGAACGGGATCTGGATATCAAAATGGTGTTTCGATATTTGAGGAGCAGATTTACCACTCGTGATGAGAATGTACAACCTCAAGTAATGGGCCCGGGTTCAGGTTCTGTGCTATCGAAAAATTCGAGAGAGAATCTTGCAGTAGAAAATACACCGGATTCATTAGCGCGGGCGGCGAGAGTGAGGGCTCACCATCCTTTGGTTAATCTTAAAGCCAATAATGGGGGAGTCAAGAAGAGAGTGGGGAGGAGAGGGTCGAGTGAGAGTGGTGGGTTGGGATTGGTGTTGGGAGGAGCAGTGGGGAAAGGGGGGAGTGGCGTTGTACCTATTGGTGGCACACTCAAAAGTTTGAGGATTGGTAGTGGGAGTAGTAGACATTATTGGGATATTGGGGGGAGTATAGCGGGGAGTTCGACGAGGGGGAGTGTGGTTGTGGGGGGTGGAGGGGGGATGGGTGGGGGGATGGGTGCTTGGGGGGAGGTCTAGGGAGGTCTAGAGAGGTTTAGGGAGTGGGGGACTGTGTTGGAATGCTTGGTGTTTTGATTTTCCCCGGGGTTTGTAGGATACTTGATTGGATGGGATGGGATAGGATGGGATGGGATGAGCTTATAATTTTGATTGGATTGGATTTGATGATGAGACGAGATGAGATGAACCGAATGGATTGAACGAATGACTGGAACGGAATGGAATGGAATAAACGAACAAACGAACGAACAAATGAAGAAATGAAAAAAATAGCGAGCATAAAGCGGAGTTTCATATGCATATGAATATGGGCATTACATCTCACCTCTGTTTTTTTTTGGGTTAATCATACCAAACCGGTACTGGCTTAGTTGGATAAATCGGATTATTGGATTGGATTATTGGATTGGACTTATTATTTCGGATGTAATTAGATATATATATATATACGAGTATATAGGCCGGGGAGAAGTAACTCGGATATTGAATTTTTGAAATTCGAGATTTGAATATATAATAATCGTATAATGAGGTTGTAACTTGTGAGCTTGTAACTTATAAGGGGCTGGCTGGCTGATGTGTATGATGTATATATGGGAGGGGGGAAGGGGGAAGAGGGAAGGAGGAGGAGGGAGAGGGAAAGGAAAAGGAGGATATGAGATGAGTTGAAGTATCATAACTGTGCGAAACTTCGAAAGTTTTTGCAATATTTCATACATCTATAGGTATGCTCACAAATCTTCATGTAATTATGTCCTTGTCACAACAACAAATGCCGAGGCTTAAAGCTCAATATGAGTATAGTGATCACTATTCACATCAATTTGACTTCAAAATTGATTGATTTTCATGCGATTACTATTCACAAGTTTTGATGATTAGTGATATTTCGGTTCTGTTGGACCGTCCGTTGGAACATCGTGATCATCATGTTTTCTTATATATCATGGCAAATCACCATCGCTGAGTATCTGTGTCAAACTTTCGAGAACTATCTCAAGGAAGTCATCTGATTAATCGATCATAATATAATACAAGCGCATAAATCAATCAGAACTCGGCCAAGATGTCCAACACAAACCTCACAATTCACCGTCACATCGGTCCCTTTCCCACATCTGAATCCCGCCAACACCCCGCCCTCCGTTTCCTCGAGCACTATGCCAACAAGATAAACTCAGCTTCGTATGGGGGTTCCTATCTCCCCTACTACCACCCCCAGAGTATCTTCCATGACGCTACCGGCGTTGATTATATAGGCGGAGCCGTAATTTGGAAATGGATTCAAGGGCTATTCGGCGGTGATATTTTCGAAAAAATTGATATGGAAAGTAAAGAATTCTTCGTCATAAGTGGACTAGATGATGGTGAATGGAAGATATATGGAGAATGGTTGGCGTATTGGTGGGTGAAGGGGACGGGGGAGAAGATTAGTGTACCGAGAAGTATGGTATTTACGTTGGTGAAGGCTGAGGGTGAAGAAGCGGGAGAGAGGGTTGATGTGAATGGGGAGGTGGTGGAAGAGGTGGGGTTTGAGGGGTTGCAGATTGGGGATGTGAGGTTGTATTATGATAGGAGTTTGTTGGCGGGGGTTTTTAGGAGAAGTGAGCAGGAGAAGGAGAAATTCGGTGTTTGAAATAGGGGTTGGAGATGATGGGAATTTGATAGATATCTTGGGATTTGTTTCTTTCCGTTCAAAGTAATGTTGGAAGCGCAATTTTGGTGATAATGAGGTTGTGCAACTCTTCGGAATTTTCGTTTAAGAAATTTATCTCATTTTTCTGATAGGATCTTCTGAAGAGCATTTTATTCATCCCACACGAAGATTCGATTCAGCTCTTCAATCATCATTACCGAAACCAAAAGAAAGTTTTGAATAATACTAACAGTGAACAGAAATCCCAAGATGATGATCCATACCACTATGGTAAAAACCGTATGAGAACTCTGATCAAATGAAGGTTGACGTCGTCGGCGATCAGAATATCCTTGATATCAACGTCAAATCCGAAAACGAGGATCTTCATCTTATACACGCACGATAAGCATAACTTACTATGGCAAAATCAGTTTCGTCTACTCAATTATCTCATCGTAAGTTCATGAGAAGCCTTTACGCCATTGTCGCGCTTGCGGAGCCCACATCTGACAATATATGGACTTGGCGGTAGCATTTTTTCTTAGCGACAACGAGTCTTTTACTGTATATGATTGTGGAAATGGAATTGATTATCAGTAAATTGGTTTGTACATTGTTCAAAAGTTACCTAGTATAATAGACTATGCCGATATCACCGTCGTGCAGCCAAGCCTTCACGCTAGGCGTGCGGAACTGTTGTCGCTCTTTTTCCCGACACTTCGTTTCTTCTCTTCTTCCTTCTTTTCCGAGGAACAGGAGCAGCAACAGCAACAGCAACAGTCACATCGCGAAAACCATCATTTTTCGCGCATCTCAAGACTCACAAATATTGCCAAGTCGGATGTTTTTGTGTTTGTTGAGGCTTTGCTTATGCTTATGCTCATGGTTTGGATAGTTATAAAGTGAACTGGTATACTCGAGTATTGCGTTCGATACCAGTACTACCAGAAGGAAGATATTAATTGGTCGTGATCAGACAATTTTTGGATTATCTCAAGATCTATCGAATCTAAACATCCTTTTGTGCTTGTATATTTCTTTTGTTTCTTCCTTTTTGGTACAGTATATCCTCGGAACATCATCACACTGGAAATCTAGGGTTCTGTTGCAGAGGCTCAGTATCAATCTGGACTGAACTCCTCAGTACTTTCTGTACCGAATTCCTGTGCTCAAGTGGCACCGCGATATTGGGACATCCTATCAGGAAGTATATATCCGTTCCCTGTCATTACTAGTTGTAGGACATAAGTATACATTCCCATATTGATTTCCTTGGCGATATATCAAAATACCACCCCACTATGGTTACATAGATTTGCAACAATCGTTTGAGACATGGAGTTTTTCTTACTTCCCCGAAGAGATATGCAGGTTCCCGTCAAACTCTTGGGTTGTGTTGCATATGGAAAGTGCTATTGTGCCATTACCTCGATGCTCTCTTGGCCTGAACTCGCGCTTTTCCCATTCTGCAAATACCAAACGGAGACCTTCCAGCGTTTTCTCTACATATCACTACCAGATTCCTAAAACTAACGGCCTCGCGATGATGTGGTCAAAACTTCCTTTCTTGCTAGCTTTTGTGCCAGCACTGGTGGGTTCTCTGGCACCGACAGACGAAATTCGAGATGCAGATGCGCCGCAGTCGGGTTATCTAGACAACCATAACATGCATCCTGCAACAGTTGGGTCTGCAATATTTGGGATTCTATGGAAGAACAATTATGGGAATAATAAGGAGAAATGGTATGCAAAACCATTAGTATATACTCCACCAGGTAAATCACAACTGGTCTTCATTGCATCAGCGATGAATGTGATACGTACCTTGGATGCTGTCAATGGGACTCTATTGAACTCGAGAGTGATACAACCACCTTTTCTACAGAGTGATCTTGGGTAAGCTATACCAGGAGAATGATGGAAATCCGCTAAGATAACCAGATGTACCGACATCCCAGATTTTATTGGTATCATCGGAACTCCTATCATAGATCCGTCAACAAATATCGTATACTTCTTCTCAAAAGGATACAAGAATGGAGCTGCCAGCGGAGGTGTTGTTAACGGTAGGCAACCCTTTTACATACAAGGTTTGGGGCTGACATGTGGTTAGGACTCTACAAGTTCTATGCTGTGGATATAATCACTCTTCAGGATATTGCTGGGTTTCCTGTCCTGATCGATGGCAATTTCGCAGATAATGATAACACGAGGTGAAATAGATCTTTGAGAATTAGTTACAATGATGCTTATATCTCTAGGTACTTTCTTGGTGGCACTGTTCTCCAAAGACCATCTGTAACCCTCATCAACGGAGTAGTCATTGGGGCATTTGGAGGACATTGTGATCTTTTCAATTATACTGGAATGCTGGTTGGAGTTAGTACAACTCCTGGGGTCGGTGTTACGTCTATATTTGCCATGGAGTCTAGCCCGGGTGCTCCGCCCGTTGTAGCAGATTTCAATATCCAGGAAGGTGGGAAGGCTGGAATATGGCAGGGTGGTATGGGCCTTGCGACAGATGGAAGTCGGTTATTTCTCGCTACTGGGTATGTGGAATACGATCGATTTATCTGCAAATAGTATGCTAATTCGAAGAGCGAAGTAATGGTGAAGGACATGCGAACGGTGATGTACCAGCATCAGGAAGAACTCCACTGTCAACCTTGGACGAAGTTGTTGGGGATTTTGCAGTTTCAACTGCTGGTAAAATCACTTTATCGGATTATTTCGAACCTTACGAATACGTCTCCATGGACGCTGGTGATCGAGATCTAGGATCTGGCGGTGTTGCCTTGTTGGATCCTACTGTATTTGTTGGCACTGGAGTTTCACGAATCGCAATTGTTATTGGGAAAAATGGAAAGGCCTAGTACAAGATAGCCCAATCTTTGAACCATATTAATGGCTGACAATGACTTAGTGTTTTGAATGCGAACAATCTTGGCGGTTTCAAGCAGGGAGCTGGAGGTAAATTCGTAGTCATTGTTATTTACTACATTTTGGTTGATAATCATGCAGGAACTGACAATATCCTTCAAACAATCATTGCTCAAGGATCGATATTCGCCGGTCCAGGTTCATATCCACTCGAGGGTGGTTATATCTAGTGAGTAGCTACATGGTATTTTCTGTGCCAAACTTTTCTAACGCAACACAGCTTTACTCCCGTCGGTGAGCGATACATCAAATCTAGATAAAAAAACAAGTCTTAATAGCATGCGCTTTCTAGGATTTCCAACTGTCTGTTATAAGCTAGGGCATGATGATAAAGGTGCGCCCCTATTTACTTTGTTCGGCCAAAGCGCAACGAATTCTGCTGGAGCTGTTGGAATAGGTAATAAACCGAACATGAAATCTTGCTGAATTTCCACGATACTAAAAGTTGCCTAGGAATACCAACTACTACTACGTACAAAGGCCAGGCTGGTACAGGTATTCTTTGGATTTCAGACCCAAATGCTGGGCTAAAAGCATACAACGCTGTACCTGTAAATGGTATCTTGACACCAATTTCGATTCCACCAACCGGAGGACTCAATAAGTTTCAACGTCCTGCTTTTGGAGATGGACGATTATACGTATCAGATACAAACGGGAATGTCATATGCTTAGGATCTCCTGTTGCATTACCTCTACAGTGTACACAGCCGGTCGATTTTGGTGAAGTTGCCATTGGCTCAACCGCGACTCAGATTATTAATTGCACTGCACAAATTGCCATCACATCAGTAAATGGTTGTACCACAGGCGATAAAACCTGGCAGTGTGTCAATTCAACTTTACCTCAAGGACCCTTAGCCCAAGGCGCGAATTTCTCGTTTCCTGTTACCTGGAATCTTACCCAGGCTTCCATAAATGATGCTCAGAATGCATCTTTTGGGCATGTTCTACCCGGAGTGGCCAGCACGGGTCTGAATATTTATACTACGAATGCAATACCTAAGTATAGTACTATTGTACCTGTCTCTCTATCCGGTACGACTGTTAGCAAGGGACCATTTTTGGATATCGCACCTGCAGAAGTTGATCTAGGCGGTATTGTTGTAGGCGCACAGTCAGCATTGACTGGTCTCGATGGAACTGTAATCATTTCCAATATTGGAGCACAGGTTATGAATATATATGGGACAGCATGGACCCATAATATCGCGCCTGACGATGGTGGTAAGCCTACCAATTTTTATTCCACATTTCATTACACTTATATTGCGATGCAACTTCGTTTGGACTTTTTCGCATTAGCTACCGCATTTTACCTCATCCGACGAATAATATACTATCTTCAATTATGAGATGTGAATCCCACTGAGCTTCTAGTGGACCCTCGATTTTGGCTGATGGACCACCACTTATAGATCCAATTTATACAAACATCACAAATGGGAATCTTGGAAGTGGCTTCAGCACGACAGCCATACCAAAGGCTGGTGACACAATTGTAAGTGGTGGATCAGTAACAGTTCCATTGAATTTTGTGAGCAATATCACTGGAGCTTATTCAACATTTGTTGAGTTTTGGACGGATGGAGGTAATGGAAATGTCTTCATCACGGGTAGTGCTTCCACGGCACCAATTGCTAATATCTCGATTGCAACAATTGAAGGAGGGTGGGACTTTTCGGAGCCAGTAGTGATGAATTTCGGAAATGTCCTGGCTGGGAAGACAGTTACTTCCTACATTCGGATTTGTAATTCAGGCGGATCAGCACTACTAATCACAAAGAGCAAACCACCTATCGATACGGAACTCTTGGCTCCTGATTCTGCTGTGGATCTTCACGAGGGTCAAGTTGTCGAGGTCAATACTTGCGCAATGGGTGCAGTGTCTATCGTTGCTGCTCCTCTTGGGGTAAATCGACTAGATCATACTGTTTCCGATGTGTGGATCTTGAATACTGAGTAAGTACTTTGTATATTCAACGAACCATGCGTTGCTAACCAAAGGTCCAAAATAGCGACATCACATTTGGCATTCACGATGTTCAAGTTACAGCCAACATAGTAACAAGACAACTTGGGCCATTGCTCTCTAATGGATCTTCAGAATATTTATATCTGGGGTGCTATTACGATGGCGGCGGTCGACAGCTACAAAAACAGTACAATAATGCTACCAATGAGAACGGATGGTGCTTGACAAATTGTTTTAATCTAGGATATAAATTTGCAGGCACAGAATATCGCAAGTACTCCGAATAGAGGCGAAATCATAGCTGATATAAAATAGACACACAATGTTGGTGTGGAAACAAAGCTCCCACAGCAGCGAAATAGTAAGTCCGAATTCTAGATTTAGATTTAGATTTACAAGTAGGAGAATTAATCATTTTATAGTAGCGACCCGTCTCTGAATAAATGCACATTCAGCTGCCCGGGTGATAAAACGCAGGCATGTGGAGGAGATGGGACTTTTGTGTCGATTTATTATGATCGGATTAAGTATATTCCTGGTCCAGATTCGATTCCTGGACTTCTGATTCCTTCGACAGGCAGTAGTAGTAGTAGTTCAAGCTCTACTTCTACCTCTGCAACTACATCTTCCTCATCATCTTCTCCACCAGCAAGTAACTCGCCTCAAAATATTACTACCATTTCCACTTCCACTTCCACCTCAACCTCAACCACAACCACAACCTCATCCCTCACACCAACCCCCACAATCCCCCCAATAATCGGCCCCTACACCTACATAGGCTGCTACACCGAAGCCACCACCGGCCGAGCTCTAACCGGCAAAAGCTACACAAACAACAGTATGACTATCGAATCTTGCTATGCATTTTGTTCTGCATTTATCTATTTTGGCCTTGAATATCGGAGGGAGTGTATGTCATATCTTATCATATCATATCATTAAGAATTGTATTTTTGGGGCTAATAAGCTAATAAGTTTTTTTGGGGGGGTATGTGTAGGTTATTGTGGGAATTTTGTTAATAAGGGGAGTGTTTTGTCTACGAATACGACTACGATGGGGAATACGAAAACTTGTGATTTGGTATGTGCGGGGGATAGGGGGGAATTTGTAAGTTTGAGTTTTTAGTTTTTATTTGTGAATTTGAAGGATATGGAAATGGATATGGATATTGCTGATTACTGACTGGGATGCGGATTGAGTAGTGTGGTGGTTCTTCTCGTTTGCAAATGTATTATAGGGGAGTTTGAGTTTGATGGGTGTGCAATGTGCATGCGTGTATGGTGGTTTGTGGGGTATGGGTATGGGTATGGGTAGTGAGGGTAGTAAGGGTGATGAGAAAGAGAAAGAGGAAGAGGGGGAGAGTTGTGGGGGGAGAATATGAACCGGTTTGGGTATTATGTGGTGGGGGTGGTGATGGTGCTGGGATAGGGGAGGGGGACGGGAGGGGATTGGTGGGAGTAGTGCGTTTGCAGTGAGTACGAGGGGGGGTGTTTGAGGGTGTGAAAATGATATGGTAGCATTAATGATGGAAATATAACATTGCTTCTTTTCTTTCCATCTTACTACTACGAGTACTTATCAAGAGATGTTTCTTGAAACATTCATTTTTATAAATTGTTATACTCGTCAAAAGAGAAGAATTCAATTTGTAGATAGATTAATAAGATGTGGAAGTGGTCTTATAATTATAGTACTAAGTGTAAAAAGGCTTTAAAATATAAATATAAACGGTAAATACCTGGAATAGCATCATTTTGAACTTTGATACCCGAAATAGCCTAAGTGCTAATCGAGGTATAACATATACTATTTCAGGTTAAATCTTTTGTATTATTCTGGTCGCAAAATAAAATATGTTAATCTGGTCTCAGGAATAGAAATGATGCTAATCTGATCACAAATTTATATATTAATCTGATTACAAGAAAAAAAAAGATGTTATTCTAGTTATAAAATTTATATATTAATCTAGTTACAACAAAATAATATTATTTATACAAAAGAATATAAGGCAAGGAAAAAAGGAGGAATTATATAAAAGAATATAGGGCTATTATTTATACTAAAATAACAAATCAACTTTGAGATCAGAATAGCACCCTTTTCTTTTTCTGCAACCAGATTGTGACCAAAAGGGTATAAACAGGACTCCGATTGTGTACTTAGAATCTACAAGTGAAGAGCTATGTAGGGTGCTAAAAGGAGGACTATATATACAGGTATTGGGAGCCATAAGGGCTAGGCCAAAAAGGGTGAAAGGGTCCTAGGCGTAAGATGCCTAGGTCTAGAGCTATAGAGCTAGGGCTCTAAGCTGTGAAAGGAAGGTCAAAAAGAGCCGTCATATCATACTATGTATGTAGTATGAGCCAGTGGGCGGAAGAGAGCCGTCTGTTCCGTCACATTACCCCCCCCCTTCGAAAAAGCGTGACCTCACGCGTCCTTTCATAGGCAAATCGCCTGTGATCTCATCATAGTTGTCAACTCCGTTGTCGTGGTT